GGGGGGGGGGGGGGGGGGGGGGGGGGATTCGAGGAAGCGTGGTTGTGCTCTGGATTGGCACTGTCGGAAAGCCAACGCATTTTTGATTGGGCATCTTACGTTTTTACAAATGAGACAGGATTAATGGAGCAAGACTAGTGTTTTATTTGATAACAACAGTCTATGATGTTAGCAGAAGAGGGGGACATGTGGTCATTCTGTGGTTTGAAGAGTCTTGTTTTTGTCTCACTACAACAGTCAGAGTGATGCTGGGGTTTTGTGGAACCATGGCCGGGCTGTCAGGCCACTCCAAGTTGAGTCAAGGGCTGTTACTTTTTATTTCTCAGCTCCAACGGCAGCCAGTTATTTGCTGGACTCTTATCCCTAATATGAATTCTCTTCCTTTGTATTTGTCCCCTCTGCTTGGATATTTTTTTCCTCCAACCTCTTTGTCTGATAACACCTTACTAATCTTTTTAGTAGTAGTTTAGGTGTCTTATATAAGACACTCCCTGGAGCCCTCCCTCCCCCCAATACTGTTTCAATCTCTCCTCTGTGCTCCCCAGCCTTCGTTCCTAACTCCAGCATGGCATTTACCGTAATGAAATTCCTAGCTGTAAGGTATCTTAATCGTCTTGTTCCCCACTGACGAGCTCAACCACTGACACTAGACTTTCATTGAGCTTTTTCACGGATTCAACCAACCTGAGATCTAAAACAGCATTTTCATATTCACTGACACTACAGACTTTTAGAGATTTTTATACTGATTTTGAGGGGGGGGGGGTGGAGAAAGTAACATTGATAGTGAAACGTCCATCTGCTGCCTCTGGCAGGCACCCTACTGCAGTTGGAGCTCACAACCCCCGAATGTGCCCTGATCCAGAATGGAACCAACCTTTCCGAGCAAGGGAATGACGCCCTACCAACTGAGCCACACTGGCCAGGGCTGCTGCTTATTTTTGAATGAAGAGGCAACCAGCTCTCTTATTAGCATTGGACAAGTTTGTACACGTTTCCCTAGTAAAATACAGAGTTTGTTAGAATACAGCAAGGAGGCTGTTAGTAATAGAGACTCCCAAACCTAGTCTAGGTAAGTTAAACCAGATGTAGGGGGTTAGGAGGTTGGAGGGGGTATGTGTACAGTTGACCTCTGGATGGTGCAGGTTTGAACTGCGGAGGTCCACTTAAACCAGATGTCTTTCAGCACCAAAGTACACTCGGCCCTTCCTATCCCTGGCTTTCACACCCACGGATTCAACCAACCTCAGATCTAAAACAGTATTTTCACATTCCCAACCGCAAACCAAAAATACAGCTGACCCGCTCTAGCCGGTTTTGCTCAGTGGATAGGGTATTGGCCTGCGGACTGAAGGGTCCTGGTTGGATTCTGGCCAAGGGCACATCCCGGGTTGTGGGCTCGATCCCCAGTAGGGGGCGTGCAGGAGGCAGCCAATCAATGATTCTCCCCTATCATTGTTGTTTCTATCTCTCTCTCCCTCTCCCTTCCTCTCTGAAATCAGGAAAAACATATTTTTTAAAAATACAGCTGACCCTTGAACAACGCCGGGACTATGGGTGCCGCCCCCGCACAGTCGAAAATTCGCGTATAGCTCATACTGTTTTCATTCTGCGCGGTTGGTTGAATCCAAGTATGCGAAGGGGCAACTGTAGCGTCCAAAGTTATATATGGATTTTCGACTGCGGGGTTCAGCACCCCTACACCCAGAAGCGATGTCCAAGGGTCAACTGTATTTTCAAAAGTGACTAACGTGCTACCAGTGTTGAGAACCACCGGGACAGATC